AGTATACTTCTAAATAATCATAAATTAATACTAATAAATAATTTATAATTGAAATTAATTTATGTAACATCTCATAATCATATTTGTATATGAACATATATTTTCATGTATGAAGAAATACAATTTTACACATTCGATTCCAAAATCTACAAAAGTTACATTACAAAGTAGCTACCAATTTCCCCCCACAAAATCTCTATACAAACTTGTATACATTCAAGTATTCCAAAAACTGAAGATAATAAGTTATCCTAAACATCTCATGTAAACAAATATAATTCTTCACAATTTCCCTTTCCCCTTATCTTTTGATTGTGTCCGACCTGCAATGCACATTTTGAAAACACCAAAATGAAGGTTAGACCATGAGGTCTAGTGCGAAATCCCTTTGTTTGCAATGACATGGTGAATAATCATCAAACACATTTATAAACCCATGTTTGTAATAAGAACAAATAAACTACACTTTAATAAAAACAAATTTCTTTTGTCGAATCTAAAAGATGAAATATCATCATTTTATCACATCAAATAACCCAATAACTCATTTAACACATTTTGATATAAATCATTATATCATATAGATGAAAATGTAATTTCCTCGCATCACATGGGTGGAACAACCCCATTTTATCACAACACGCTGGTGCGAGGATCCCATCTCATTGCATCACATGGGTGCGATAAACCAATTTGCCGCATCAATAAGATACGATAAATCAAATTGTCGCATCACATTGGTGTGACAAACATGACTCCTCGCATCACAAAGATACGATAAAAACTATTCATCGCATCCATTAAGTCATCACATTACACAGATGCGATGACTCCAAGTCATTGCATCATAAGGATGCGATAACAGATAACAGCTTAATGAAAAACCCAGATTTTATATTCCATTGATGATGACACCCTTATTTTAGTATACACATCTCATTGACATGTCACATTTATCCCAATATACACCTCTTTTTGATCTGTCATCCCTTATTCCAAGCACATGATATAAACATATCAAAATCCCACAATTATGCTAATTATAGCATCCAAACAGTTTTATAATCAATTCCACATAGAGAACCATACGGTTCTAATTTCAATACCATAAAAGGAAAGTTTATAAAATAACTCATCTTATGATCACAAAGATGAAGATATGAAGATGAAAAACAGCAATTATTCCAGTAGAAATCACAAAATCAACTCCCTTTGTCATCGTTCTCACTGGGTAAGATACTCGTTCATTGTCATGTTCATCCGATAAAGTAATGTGACTTTGTAAACGTTTACAAAGTAAGCGTCTGGTAAAAGCCCCTAAATATATAAATTTGGATTACTATATTTAAGAAGATGTCAAATATCTCTTGATAAGCCGGAGTAAAGATTGTTCTATTTTTTAGTATGAACAAATAATTGTTATTAAATGAGGCTAAGGGGTTGTTCGGTTCATTTTTCATTGAGACATGTATAAATATGTATGTATTGATAAAGTTGTTTGTATGGTATAACATAAATTATTTAATTAATGTTTGTGCTAAATAAACAGTCTGTTTGTCAAAAATGAACATTTTAACCTCAGTTCATTTGTTCATAAGTTGCAAACTCAACCAAATATGTACCCGAAAACCCAAATCAATAGATTAAAAAAAAACATCAGTTCTTTTATTCACCAATTGAAGCCCAATGACATATTTAGAATACAACACCACAAAATAAAATCTACAAAACCAGAACAGAGCAAAAAGCTTCATACCAAAGCCAAAAAGGAACACCACCACGTAGAATGAAACAAAAAGGAACACCGTGTAGAAAAGATGGTGGAGACATAGACGGTTTGAAGAAGATGAGAACGTCGATGCGATTGGAGGCATCAACTGAAGGAGCGTCTTTTTTAAAATAGTATTTTGTCTTTATTGCAAAGTAAGAGGCGGACTTTGAAACGATACCGTCGGTCGCTAGCACGTAATCGAGAGCGCTGGTGTCTAGAAGACCGACGATGGTGCTGGAGGTACCGGAAGGGAAGAGTCAATGGAGGTGATGATTTCTTTTATTGGGGGGGGGGGGGTAGAGGGTTCTTAATGAGAAGGGTAAATAGGGAAAATTAGGGTTGAAGCTAGACAAGTGTCTTTTCTTGGTTGAGTAAATAAGTTGTAGGCTGCCTGATTAAGCCATAACTGAACAACTAGATTTGACTTACTGAATTAGTTGTATACCTTTTACAACTCATTAAGGGGGTGTTTGGGATTTGCTTATTTGACACAACTTATATTTTTCTACAAAAGCACCCGTCAACTTATTATAAGTTAGAAGGGTTTAACTTTTTCAAAAACTTCTTATTATCGTTTTGGCACCGGTATAAGTTGTTTATCCAAACACTCAAAAGTGCTTATTACCGGTGTCATACTGAAATAAGTCAATAAGTTGTTTGTATAACACCCCTTAAGTCGTAAAGGAACAACTTCTAACTTTTTATACTATAAATGTAAATACAATTGAATACTAATGACTAGGAACAAAAAAATTGAAGCAAGTTTGAAAACAGAAATCACACTAAAGTGTTTATGATTGGACTGAAAGAGTTTTTTACGTCTTTTTGTCTCTATGGTTTGTTAAAGAATATGATTTTTATCTTTTTATTTTATTTTATTTATTTATTTTTTAATTAACCTAGACATCAACTCGCTATGCGAGCCGACTAATCTCAGTACGACCATCTGTTTTGCGGGTAGCCTGAAATCACCGTATTTGAACATTCGTGGCCACAATGAGATTTTTATTTCTTTTTGGATTTGATCCTGAGACCTACAAACACTTTTGACCTTTGGAGCCCGAGTTCAAACCAATTAAGCACTACATTTGTGGAAATTTCTATTTTTATCACTATAGTTTGTAATTCATTGCTATTTTCGTCCTTAACCTTAACTCTTACTTTTAAGTAGAAAGGACAAAAAAAACAAAGAATTGTAAACAACAGGGACCAAATTATTTTTTATAAATTATAAAGATAAAAATACCAATGAAATACAAACTATAAGGACTAAAATTGCATTTTCTAAACCATAGAGACGAAAGTGATAAATTTTACAAACCTCAGGGACAAAAAAGTAATTTATTCTTAAATTATTAATTATTTACCATACCGCATATCTTAAAATAAAAGTTTTAAATATTTTTATTAAAAAAAGAAACATCTTGAAAATTTTATGGTGCAACCAAAACGTAACAAAAGGATCCAAACCCGATCTCAGACTAGTCTCACTATCTACTCCGACGATACCATCGCCGCAACCCACCATCATTCACGGCGGATCCACCACCAGGCACCATCACCAGCTCAAAAGGACCACCATAATTCACAACATTCTGTTTAGATCTAATCGATAAGTCTGGGGGATGGCTTTTTCGGAAGCCGAATCCCGCCTCGTAAACAAGATCCTAGTCCCAGCCCTAGAAAAAATTATCAAGAACAGCTCTTGGCGCAAGCACTCAAAACTCGCTCAGGAATCCAAATTAGTACTCGAACGCATCACTTCCTCCGAGAAACCCTCTCCTACATCAGAAGACAGTCAATCAGATGTTGATACGTCACCACAATCACCAGCCCCCGGCGTCCTGCAAGATTCAGGCACCAACGAACTTTCCCTAGCCGAATCAGAACTCATTTTAAGCCCCATCATCAACGCTTGCTCTTCGGGGAATGTCAAGATCGCTGAACCAGCGCTGGATTGTATACAGAAGTTGATTGCTCATGGATATTTACGTGGCGAAGCGGACCCCAGTGGTGGTCCCGATGCAAAATTGTTAGCAAAATTGATCGACTCAGTTTGCAAGTGTCATGATTTTGGGGAGGAGGGAGTGGAATTGTTGGTGTTGAAGACAATTTTATCGGCAGTGACGTCGGTATCGTTGAGGATACATGGTGATAGTTTGTTGCAGATTGTCAGGACTAGCTATGATATTTATCTAGGGAGTAAGTATGTGGTTAATCAGACAACGGCGAAGGCGTCATTAGTGCAGATGCTTGTGATTGTTTTTAGGAGGATGGAGGCTGATTCATCAACGGTGCCAGTGCAGCCGATCGTGGTGGCAGAGCTGATGGAGCCTACGGAAAAGGGGGGAGATGGTGATGGAACAATGACGGTGTTTGTTCAAGGGTTTATTAGTAAAGTTATTCATGGAATGGATGGGGTTTTGAATCCAGGGACTCGGGTAGGATCAAATGCTGGTGGTGGTGGGGTGCATGATGGGGCGTTTGAAACCAAGACTTCAACTGTAGAGTCAACAAATCCTGCTGATTTGTTAGATTCTACGGATAAGGATATGTTGGATGCTAAGTATTGGGAGATTAGTATGTATAAGACGGCATTGGAGGGCCGGAAAGGGGAATTGGCAGACGAGGAGGTTGACAGGGATGATGATATAGAGGTTCAGATTGGGAATAAGCTGAGAAGGGATGCGTTTTTGGTGTTTCGGGCTCTTTGTAAGCTATCAATGAAGACCCCTCCGAAAGATGCATTGGCAGACCCACAGTTGATGCGAGGAAAGATAGTTGCTTTGGAGTTGTTGAAGATCTTGTTGGAGAATGCTGGGGCTATTTTCAGAACCAGTGAACGGTACTTTCTCATGCTCTCTTTTCCTCTCGGATGTTGATAATTAGGATGATGGTTCATCAAGTTTATGCCTCTTTAGCTCTTTTTGGGGCCTTCCTTTTTAGTTTTTATGTTGAAATTTGAATGTGGCTGTGCTCCTTTAGAAGTTCAGGTTTTGTGATGTAATTACCCGGGACTGTTGCATTTGACACAACTTCTACAAACTAATGCTGTAAATATGGTTTTTCATGTTGAGGCTAAATAACCATGTAAAAAGAACTGTAAATCATATCATAAGCATCATTTGTAACCAAACAACAAAGTTTTTAGACTTTAATGGATTTTCTTATGTAACAGATTCATTATCTATCAGTACGACAGTACCTCCTGTTACATCAGTCAAAAGATGAAATCGCGGTCAGGACCGTGATTTGAAATAGCGGTTATCGCAATGGTAAAGCAGTGGTATAACGGTGCAACTAAAGGTTCATATAATAACTAGAATTATATATATGCATACATAACTCAGCATATTTGATGTATACAATAAAAAAAATATACAAGAATAATGATGTCCAAGTCCAAATAAAAATAATTGAAGAATGTGAATACTTTTATTCAAATCAAGAGCTCAAAGTGATGGTGTCCAAATCTTAAAAACAAGAATAACGGTGTCCAAGTTCAAAAAAAATAAAAATAATGGTGTCGTAGTCCAAAAAAATAAGAATATGAAGCCTTGATATTGTTGGATTAAAATAAAACCGAATGCAAGTCCTTAATAAAAGCCCATAAAATTACCTTTTTAACACCAAAACAGCCTATCTACAAATAGTGGTTATGTGGCTGCTTTTTTTGTGTTCAAAATGCTGTGATTTAGCGGTCAATGGCGCTGCTAATCGTCGGATTGCTATTTGACCACCGTTATTTGTCCCATGACAGCTAACTGTGATAGCACTGCTATAGCGGTGCTATTAACCGCATAGCATACATGAAAATGTGTTGAGGATGTTAGCCTATAGATTGCCAAACAAAAAGGGATATTCATATTCTTTTTAGGCCTCTTCAAGGACCTTGATTGATGGGTGGAAATTATGGGCATCTACCTCTTCCTACTGTTCGAGAAGTATCTTTTAGCAAGAGAAGAAAGCAAAAGATAATTAATAACGTTAGAACCCACCAACGTCTCTCGAGGATCGATAATGATTACCCATAAGTAGTCCCAAGATCAAAAACCACGTAAAAGGAGCCCGTTGTGTGAGCATTCTAAAAAACCTAGGCACTTCCGTGAGACATGCTGGAATTGCATGGTCCAATCACTTCAAAAATGATCAAGGGCACGGCTGCATGCAAAGGTTGTCACAACCTATGCTGTTACAATGGTCAAAATACAAAATAGAGGGCCGAACTAATATTTGAAGTAGCGGTTATCCTGGTGGTATAGCGCTCCAAAATAGCGGTTCATATAATATTTATTAGAAAATTATATATAAAATATGTATTCCTACATAAACATATTATATACATTAATTAAAAATATAGTTTCAACATCAAAACGGCAACTTAAACAAGTTTCACAAAACAAAATAGGAAAAGTGTTCATAAACGATGATAGAGAACTCGAACAGTGTGGAAGAAGTTTGACTGTCGTCGAAGATAGAAAGAAATTGAAAAACTAAGATTCTAAGAATTTCTAAACCAGTTGCTGGATGATATTCGTTGACTGTTGATGGATTAAAATAAAATTAGGGCCCAAATAAAATAAAAGCCCAAAAAAAGACAAAAATGTGAGCATTGATTCAAAAGAGGCCAGACTGAAAATATCGGTACTGCGGACTGCTATTTTACCTCAAATATCAGTGAAATAGCGGTAAATTGCGCCGCTGTTATTGAAACCACAACTTCCACCGCTGTTTTTACCACCGCTATTTTGCTTATGACCGATAACGTTGCACCGCTATTGCGCCACAATTAACAACATAGATCAGTACATTGTGGTTTGTTCCATGCTTGCCTCAACTCTGAACAATGTGCAAGACATATAAGATTACATGTTGGCATACACAATTCTATTGAAGTTGATCTTTACAATTTATGGATTAAGTCATGCATTTTAGTTATGTACCCCCTTTAGCGTTATCTTTAGCATATTAGAATTCACAACCTATGGTTCAGGCTCCATTTAAGAGAACTCTCAAAATGGCTTATGTGGTTGTGTGCATCCGAGTGTTTTTGCTGTGATAAGAGCTTTAATGGTATATGTGAATATTGTGGTTTTCACATGATCTGATGAGGTTTGAGGTCTAATAGTTGGAACCACACAGTTTAGGTCCTAGCTTTATTTGGGAGTCAACTGGCTGAGTTTCAAGAAAGTTCTAAAAAGTGAAGTTTGTCTCCGTTCTGGTGTGATATAGGTTAAAAGTGTTAAAGTACAAATACAGTATTAGTAAGGCAAGCACCACTTCAGGTCACAGTGGTCTAAGGATTGTAATTCTCGGTCACCGTGGTGTCAGTTTAACATTGTTACTACTGAAGTAACCGAACATTAGAAGCTTAACATGAGAGGTGGCATTTCATATGACGTTTTAGTGACATGATATCCCAATTTTAATGACTTGGTAAGTGTGGTATTCATGGTTTTAACAATTTGGTTAGTGTAGTTTATTTATAACAATTTGATCATTGCATTTAGTTATCTTACCAATATAATTCATGAATACCATTACTGGACAGCAGTAGTTCATTTATATGCAACAGTGAAACAGGCAAAATTCAAACAAAAAACGTGAATAAATAAACTTGTCACAAGGGTCTGGCATAAGAAACAACATACCATGTGAGCATGAGCAGACAGTCAACAATGACCTTAGAACTGGCATTTACGTGAGACAGGGCTGCGAACCAAGTAATTATGCATAAGACTCGCAATAGTACAGGTCAGGTGAGCCTCAACTTGATTGATTGTTATATCTCGCCGAAGTATAACAAATGAAGCTTTGAGTATAACAAAGTGTTCTAATAATCCCTGCCTAGGTGTTAAGCTTTGCCCCACCGCTTTGATTAATTTGGGCTGCTCAATTTGTTGTCTAGGAGTATTCCTCATTGCTTTATTTTTGGCAACCTATCGATTCATTAAGCGTCTCAAAATATTCAACAGGGACTATTTGATTTTTCTCAATTTGTGTTCATGATCGATCTTTCTCAACTTGGAGGGAATGTTACGAATCTTTTGTGAGTTAACTGCATCAATGAAACTAGTATTTAAAAAAGCAATTATAAGAAGTAGCATAGTGCCAAAATTCTAACTCTCATATGTTTACATAACATAGACAAAGTTATCTTTTTATATATTCAGAATGAACTTATACTTTTGCTGAAGTGGCCCCTAATCCCTAGTTAGGCAATCAACTGATGGAAGGTTACTTGAATGCCCAACTCCGCTTATTTAGGCTATGTTTGGCAAACTAGCTGATGAACAAATCATGTTTGACAAAACTAGCTGAAAAAATGTAAAATGGTCAAAAAGGACATCTTGAAAAATTAATCAATTATCATTGTTCAGAATATAATTGAAACAAATCTCTAATCATATATTATATTAACTAATACAAACAAGATGTAAATTTTTTTAGGAAATATAATATATTGATTATAAGAATTTCAAATTGATTATTATATATTATA